CAGCAGGAAAGCAGCTTCTGCTGAATTCTAAATTCCTTTTGAACTGGGAGCATCATGTTTTGAATAGAAGACTGCTGTCTGGTAATGATGGTATGATCTTGGAAAAGAGGGAATTACAGATTTGTTGACTTAACTTTAATTTCTGGAAAAATGGTGGAGTTAATTATCAAAACAACTGTTTAAAACTAGGTAACATGGTGATAATTAACATCAAATGGAGACTTGTAAAGAACAAACAACGCTGAAGAAACTCAGTTTCCTTTTATGGCAGCACAGTGGTCCTCCTGGCGGGATTTTCTTGTCTTCAGTCAGGCTCTTGTTGCTGTGTTACTTGACAATCTAATAAGGAATCTGGGGACATATGGTCCCCACTTGAGTGAGGAAAACACTCTAAGAGTAATTACCAGTGGTCATGTCAGCTGGAAGGATATACGAAGTGGATATCTTACAGGAGTCTATGCTGGGTTTAGTGTTATTAAATATTTTTATTTTTTTTACTTGGCTGATGGAAATGAAAGAACACTTATATTTGCAGGTGGTATCAAGATGGGGTAATAGCATGTCCTCTGGGTAAAAGAAATCTAATTCAAAATGATCTTGGCAAATTGCATTCAGTCTTAAGAATTTCTTCAATTCATTTAGGACAAATGTAAAATACTATGTTCAAGCAAGAGATCATATACGGAAATGAAGTGGAGGGATGGAAGCTTAAAAGCAATGCTGCAGAAAGATCTGTGTATTATTGTGGATCAGAGGCTGACTGTAGTCACTAATGTGTTAATGTCATACTAGCAATCTATAAATAGGAGTTTTGTGTATGAGACATCCGAGGTGTTTTTTTTCATTCTAATAGCCTTCGCAAGGCCTCAGCTGGAATAAAACCTTCAGAGTTGTCCATCTGGTCTCAAGAAAGACATGGATCATTTGGGAGGAGTCCGAGAAAAAGAAGCAAGAATGATTTGAGGTCTAGAAAACCTGAACAGTGAGAAAAGACTAAAAGGACTTGGTTTGTTTAGGTTAGAGAGGATTCAAGGGAGACATGATAATCACATACAAATACATGAAGATTGCTGCAAGGAGAAATAAACTGTAACAAACTATTCTTTGGGGTCACTTAGTCACTCAGGATAAGAGCTAATGGGTTTAAGTTGCAGCAAAGGAAATTTCAAAAAAAGAAAGATCTTTCCATGATACAGATTGTTCAGCAGTAGGATGAATTGCCTGGAGAAGGAGGAAAGCTTTCAGTCTTGCAAATTTTTAAGAACACATTAGATAAACACCTGCCAGGAATAATTTGGTTGGCTCATACTTGGGGCAAGGGGAGGTCACTTCCTATTTCCTGTGCTTCTGTGTACAGTGAACTGCAATTTGTGACACAACTTGTTATTTATTCCTCCCTCAGCATAGCGTTTGATTAAAAGAAATGTTTTTTTTATCAGAACAATCAATATTGTTTGGGTAAGTACAACTGGCGCACCAGGCGGTCCCGAACTTTGGTATAATCAGATTCTACAAAGTTGTCAATATGGTAAATATCTATAGTAAGAGAGTGACGCTTTAGCACTAAGGATCTGTCTGTTACTCAGAACACTTGCAAGAAACACTTATTATAACTCATATGGTCTTAAACCTATAGATAGATCTCTAAGCACTTGACAAAGGCAAATATAAATCATCCTAGTTATATGGATAGGCTAAAGACCTGTGCAATATACTTAACGTTGCAGAGAGAGTCAGTAACAAAAGAAATTGCTCTCATGCAGGGAGAAGGATATATGATGGAGAAGGTTTTATGATGTAATGGAATCATCACACAGCTTTAACCCTGGTGTATATATAAATATATATATGCAATAATCTGCCCCTTCCATGTAGTTATCAAAGCTGCACCTTTCGTAAGTATCCCTTCCAAAGCTTATATTATAATTAGTTACGATAAGTCTGGAAATTCTTGATAAATATCCAGTTCCGTTTAAGCCTTGGCCACGTTTGGCCTCAATGGCCTACTGTGAAAACTGTTACTAGTCCACAGTTCAGTCACGTGTCTGCAAAATTCAGTGATGCTTCCTTCTGCATCAGTCCTTTAGGCTGGAGTCTCTTATGTGGGGTCATTTTGCAGCTCTCTTAAGGATAGTTCAGATCAAAATCTATTATCCTATGGCTGGGGCGCTTTTTGCAAAAGTGGGCCTGTCAATACCAAAATACTTATCAAATTCCTATTCTATTACTTACTTCTAATAATACCTCTACTTGCATCCAGGCCTGTCTATGTAGAGGAGTTGATACTATTGGCTGTCCTGTTCACATTCCCTCCAAACTGTTCTGAGTACTGTTGAACAGCTATTTCCCTCTGCCTTAGACGAGGCTTAAAAACGGTGGACCAAGTCACTTGTCTGTTTTGTCTGTAGTGGTTAAGTTTCTGAAATAACCTGAGGAGAAAACTTGAATTTGAAAGTAAATTTTTATGACAGTTTTTTAAAACCAAAAGTACCCAGTCACATTTATTTTTCATTGTAATAATTCTATATTTATTTCATTTTATTCAACAGATCTTGGGCAATCAATTTTTTACACTACTACATGCTTACTTCCTTTTCTCAGTGATGATATTTTGAGTACTTTACCTTATACAATGATTTCAACATTAGCTACCTTTCCTCCATTTCTACACAAGGATATTATAGAGTATCTCAGCACATCTTTTCTGCCTATGGCGATATGTAAGTAGAACTCATTCTGGTATTGTTCTGTCTCAGAAAATGGTACACTGCTATAATAATATTTGACTGCAGGAATCAATGTTTGATTTGTCATAGAGTTGTAATGGGACATTGATCTGCCTTATGTATATACAAAAAATAATTCCATGTGACTATTCTTCTGAGGGATTAATTCTCTAGACTTATTTATTTACTATGCTTTATGTGTGACTTCTTCCTTCGTTTAAAGGGTGATGTTAAACTTATTTAAGAAATACATTGTTTTCAGTCTCGCAGAACTTCCAATGACAGCAGTGGAAGTCCTGAATACAGAATTAATGGACAGAATGCTTCTAAAATAATTGGTTACGACATATAGCTTTTATGTCTGAATTAGATTTGGATGTACAAGAATGACTCTTCTTTGCTCTGGATGCAGTCCTGAGCAACCTACTCTAGCTGACCCTGCTTTGAGCAAGAGAGGTTGGACTAAATGATCTCCAGAGGTCCTGTCCAACCTCACTATTCTGTGATTCTGTGAGAATGTCTTCTCCTTATTTGCATGCCAGACCTTTATGGAAAAACTTGAGCTTCTTTTGTACTGTGGTCTACAGTGATGTCAATGAAGAGCATAGAAGATGCTGTTAGAACATGGAAAGAAACATGGTCCAGAGTTTTAAGTTTAAGATTTTGTAGAAATTTGTCACGTGCGTTGTTTGCCTCTGCCACTTGGTGGACTTGGAGAAGTCCCTTAACTGTTCTGTGCTTCTATTTACCCATGTAAAATAATCCCTTGTAAGACATTTCAGTGAGATTTTCTTTGTTACCTTTGATGAAAGGTCTAATAACAGTATGCAGTGGATAACACTATGATATTTTTCATATATATGTGCAGTAGTTCCTCTTCGGGTTAAAGAACAGAATGTTGCACTAAACTTTTTCCCCCAGTACTGTCGTCTGTCAATGAACAGCTGATGTAGGTGATTTATCCAGCCCTGTATATCTTCAGGTCTCTAAAACTGTTCTCCAAATCAACCGGTTGAGCCAAATCGCTTGTTTAATTAAATAGAGCCTATTCCTTAGTTACCCTTGGCAGAGATAGCATCCAGGTAACCGAGGGCAACCTTTGTTAAGCTTCCTTTTCCTCAAACAGTTGTGGTTAGATTTTTATAAGAAGCCAGTCTGCTTTTCTTTAAATTTGGCTTCTAGTCCTTCTCCTACCCGGAGAGCTGCATTTTGAATGCCAGGCTAGAGCTGCTGGTGCATGTGTATTTCGCAATATAAATCCATGCAAACAGAACTTGCCATAATAATTTGGGGATTATTTTGAGTGGTTTATAGTGATGAGGCATTGACTAGGCAGAGAATGGCTCCAGTGGAGCAGTAGTTAAATCAGAGGTAATATGACATGTATACTCAGGCATCTTAGGAATATTATATCACTACTCTGGTTTGTGGACCTGGACCTGTGTACCAAAATGTTGGACTGCTTTGCACCTACTTTTTTTTTGTTTTCAACTGCCATTAATTCAGGCAGCTTGTACCTGCAGAAAAAGGTGTCCTCGGGTATTTTCTTTGCCTTTTTTGTGGTTGAGATTCAAAAAAGAATGATTGCAGTCCAATGGAGAGAGTCATAGCAATGTTGGGGCGTGTGGGGAAGTACCAGATGGGAGAGACAGAAGTCACCTTTTCCCTTCCCTTCTTCTTCTTCAATCAAGTACTCTTAACTAGAATCCTAGTCTTCTCTCACTGGGTATGGGTCTCTCCTTTTACAAGGTGAGCGTAGAACCTTTCCTTCCCTGGTGTTGAGCTCGCAATCAAGCTGAAAGAGAGGATGCAAGACATGGTATAAGGAGTCAAATGGGAGGGATGAAAGCGTCTCTCTGAACTGGTAGCTCTTCTTCTGTATCTCCATCCCAAATTCCTGGTATCTGAGCCCTGGCAGCCAGGCTTGGGAAAGTGCTGAAGAATTAGGGTGGGAAAGGACATGTCACATCTCTGTGTAGGAGGTTGTCTTCAAAGCCACGTTGCCATATTATTGTTCTGGAAATAAACACCTATGTGCTGCAGTTTTTCTTCCAAGTATACTGCTTGACAGTTACCAATGAACAGGAGACAAGCAGGAACGCTAGGCACTTCCTGTGTGAGGTCAAAGTCACAGCAGCTTAGCTATGCTTTATTATTATTGTTCATCAGTATCTTAGCACAGTTCACATAACAAGGGGAATTAGATTTTCTTGTATGTAGCTATAGCTTGAACTCATGCCATGTGTCCCTGAGAAGTAGGCTGTACCCTACAGCAAGAGCCAGCAGCTGCCACCAGCCCTAACGCTTCACCAATATATCTCAAAAGCAGGCTTTCCATTTCTCTTGTTTCCTTATCCTCTGCTTCCTCTTGCTTTTGGTAGGATCCAGATCTTATGACTGTACAAGTGAGATTGTTCTGACCACTCTGGCTTCTGAAGTGAGAGTGCCTGAGAAGATCACTGTCTTTTGTTAGTGGAGCTCTGAGAAAGAAATCTTACAGGTCTGGGAAATCAAGTGTGCACTCTGTGAGGCAATATTAAATTCAGTCATCTCTTTCCTCTTTCATCAGAAAAGAGCTTTCACTTCCTACAATATAGAACGGTTGTTCTTTTGTTAATGATGTGACACCTTGGGGATTTTATTTGCATAAGTTGGAATTGGAATTATGTGATATTCTTGCCTAATTTTCCTTGCTGTACACTAGGAAAAAAACTTGCTGTTTTTTTCCCCCTTTCTTTTAAGTGGGATCCTCAAAAAGGGAAGGTGTTCCAGCTCATGTCAATCTATCTGCATCGTCAATGCTGATGATTGCAATGCAGTACACATCAAACCCAGGTATGTAGAAATAGGCAACCTGGTATCATTCTTTCTAAAGCTATGAGTCTTGAAATAGTATGTTAAATGCCACCACCTGAAAAGTCAGAATGATGGAATAATTTGTTTCACCATCCAACACAGGATGAAAATTAAGTTATTTCAGTCAAAACTGGCATTTCCAAGCATGCTGTTTGAAGTAATTATTATAGTGATAAGAGAACTCATTGTGATGAAGAGATAGTATTGGGCCCAGGGTTAGAGACTCTGAACTACTCTTGCTTGACATCAGAAAATTGTGTTGATTTATAGCATCAGTGTTCGAGATGAAACAGCGCTCGCTTTGACTATAGAAACTCACAGAAACTGTTTGATTGTCTTATATTCCAATTCAAATCCTCCCCAGTTCACAACTGGCCCTGTTTTTTTAAAGGAGACAGATAATGCTGGCTGCAGACTCAGAACAGAACTATAATTAATTAACTCAGCTGTAGTTAGAAATCTCTGAGGGCAAATGCTGTTCTCTTACTGTGGTGCAGCCCCAGTTAAATCAGTGCAGTTGCACAATGAAATCAAACCAAAATTTATCTATCACATTTCACAATAGACAACCTTATCTCCCATTTTAGGTATTAACTTAGCCAGGTAGATGGTGGGGGAAAAACCTCCACACTGCAGTGTGTGCATGAGGTGTACCATGTCATGCTAATTTAAATCACAACGGTAAATAAAAGCAACAAACTTTTAAAAAGCTATTTACACAGGATAGTTTTTTCATGAAATGTTCTATTTTTGGCTCCCAGCTATCACAGGAAAATTTGGTCCTGTGGTTTTGGGAAGTCAAAAAGGTGTTCAGTGGCTCATTTCGCTAGCATGTTTAATGTAGGGCGGCTCCCATAGCCTGTGGCATACAAGGGAATGGTGTAGTGTTACATACAGTTTCCGTTGCTGCCTCAGGATGAATGACAAGATATCCACTTACTGCTTTTTTTAATTAGCAAACCCTTTAAAATAAAAGGTAATTAAATGGAGTGTAGAGCTTTGGACTGACAAAGGAAAACCAATCAGCTAATCCCATCACTTCTGTAACTTGAGTTTCCATTTCAGTATTATGTCTAAACTGTCTTTTCTCTCTCAGTGTATCACTGCCAGTTATTGGAATGCCTCATGAAATATAAGCAAGAAGTGTGGAAAGTAAGTTTGTGATCATATGTGCTTTGCAGAAATGATTGTATTTGGACTATAATGAAAGCCACGTGGCTTGAAACTTGAACTAAATGTACGCCAAGAAGTCTTAAGTGATCTTTTTATCCATCTTCCTTCTGAGTTACAGAGAGGAAGGTCCCTCCAATTTTTAGTTTACAGAAGCCGCTCCACCCTTTATACAGCAGAGCTCTGTTTTATGAATACTAGTTGGGTGAGGCTCCAATTGGCAGAAATTTAATAACAACCAATCTTCTAAGTTCATGTGGAGCTGAACTTTTACGAGAACTCTTTGTGAGTATTATCTTAGTCTGAATCTGATCTGGATCCAGTTATTTATCCACATCACACCTTTTTGCTCCATGGCTAGACAGAGGCTTATTTTGGTATATATCAGGCTAAAATATGTGGGTGGTGGTGGTAGCTGTTGGATCCCCCAGTCAAACTCGGAAGCCTGTTGTACTACATTCTTTATGAGCACATTGAAATTTGTCATCTAATCTTCTTGTAAAAGCTTACAAAGGATTATTGGTGGATATAAAATGTATATATTTTGTGTGTTCAGGTATCTTTGTGAACATACATAGTATGTATTGAATTGTGTTTTCGTACCTTGCAAAATAAATACTTTGCATCTGTCTTCACTTAGGATTTGCTGTATGTAATAGCCTATGGCCCATCTCAAGTCAAACCTCCAGCAGTACAAATGTTATTTCACTACTGGCCCAATTTAAAACCTCCTGGGGCAATTAGTGAGTACAGAGGACTGCAGTACACAGGTAAGTGTAGCTATGTTTGTATAAGCCAAGATAAATATTATAAAGGAAATGATAAAGAGTGTATTAAAATCAGATGCTTACAGCTGAAAGATGTGTTTTGAAGTCTTTTGTGCTGTAAGTTGATATTTTCTTAAGTATAAACAATATCCATTTCTCTGTGTTTTCAAAAGATGATGTTACAGAAAATAACAACTGTGATGATGGCCAGTAAATATGTTGTGTTACTCCCAATGCTAATAAAAAAAACGAAAAAAGGGGAAGAAATAAATACAGCATTCCAAATGGTCCATAAAACTTCTTTTTTGGCTCCACAAGGATTCCAGCTTATGTTCCTTTCAGTTATCGCTCTGGTTACTGTCAAAAGGGTCAGATGCAGCCAGTCTAATGGATACGTTCTCAAGGCTGAGTATAGGGTGAGAATGAGAGAGAAGTTTAGCGAGACAGCTGGAGCTGAGTAGGCAGGTGGTACAAGGTCCTTTGCCCACCAAACTCCTTGCTGATACTGATGGGCTTGTGCTTCTGTTAGTGGAGGGGAGGAGGTGCTATACCGCAGCAATTTGCAAGTTGCTTTTGCAGCTTGCCTGTCTCAGCCTGTATCTGTACTTCAAATATTCTTTGTTGTATGGGATATGTTTGGTTCACTCCTAAGATTTCTGCACCGTCTTTCCTTTCTCACGGCTGTGTTTGCGTATTGCCTAGCAATGTTATGAAATGTGTTGAGCTAATTCTACCATCCTGCTCCTGGAGGAGAAAGGTAATTAACTCCTTCCTGCTCCCAGCAGATCCTGAATTAATTAAAAAGGGTGTATTTGTGTCTTAATTTTTCCTTTTCTTTAGACTCAGGGTTCACCTTATAAGTAAGTCTCTAACAGGTCAGGAGACACGTATAATCTAGATTGTTTATTATAATTATTATGCTTTGTGAGGTATAGGGTTGCATCTCTCCTACCTGTATAGCACTTAGTGCAAGAGGATATTGATCTTATTTGGTACTACTAGTCACAAAGAATATAAATATCTGTTTATTAATCAGCTGTGTTTTGGTTTTGCAGCCTGGAATCCTATTCATTGCCAGCACATTGAATGCCATAATGCAATTAACAAACCAGCTGTGAAGGTACTGCTGTTTCTTCAGGGCTCAAATGCGACCTGCTGGAAGCAGGGAGGTGGGAGTTTGGTGTGCACTGAGCTCAGCTGTATGCCCTGTTTATGTGCAGGTGACTAAGGGCAGATGCTAAGGGAATAGCATGGCCCGTGGAGACTAAAGGCACCAGAACTTTGAATATGTTCTTTGGCTGCCTAAAGCAAGACAGAATATTTCTTCCATCTTCGGTAGGCTGAGTCTTGATATTAATTGTGAGGCTGGTTGCAGAGCGCTTTGCAATATTCCAAGCTTGATTCTATCTAATCATTATAATTATTTTCCTGAACATATTTATGTGTGTGTGTATGTGTATCTAATATCATCTGCACACACACACACACACACACACACACACCTATATACACACAATTTTATGTAAGCTACAGAGGTAAATGTACATACTGGTATCTGATTGAGGTCATGTGGTTCTTTAAGTTGAACGAAAGCTCATTAACTCTGACTGATCCTTTGCTTGGAGTGGGTCCTGTAGCAAAGCAACAAAGCTTTACTTGCCTCTACTATAGCTCCCTTTAAAGGAAGTAAATGGTATGTTCCCTGTTTTCACACGATATAACAAAAAGTAAAATGGTTTGCCCGGGATCATAGAGTGGTCTAGTGGCAGAGGCAGGAATAGCATCCCAAGTCCAGAGCATATTACTGTTAGGAGTACTTACTTAGTTTTATTAGATCTGTATTTAGTTAGCTATGTAGACCTAACAAGTGTTCCTGGCCTCATTCAAATGCTAACATAATTACGTTAGTCAAAGTTCTTCAGCGAGCTTTTTCTGCAGCCTGTTATCCTGATGGGGGATAACGGTGGCACTAGATCTCACAGATCCCACAAGGGGCCAGCTCCCTCCAGTCCAACCATTCTCCATGATCCCTTTTCCACTCCTTGGGAAAAAAAGCTGGAAGGTATTGCTTCATGTCCTGAAGATCACTAGATTCAGGATAATCACTAAGGAGAGTGAAATGCCAATGAATCTTACAGCTTTATAGATGAAATATTTGAATATTTTGAGTGATCTCTTAGCTCAACTTTGTGTGACAGAACCAGTGCTGTCTGTGTGGTAGTAGATCAAATACAGCCTGTTGTCTCTTGGATAGATTAATGTAAATCTGGTTAATGTAGACGAGAAGCTTCCAGTGAGCTGTTTATCTTTACAAGTAAGACCTTGCACTTGGATGGACTAAGGAAAAATTTTATTTAAGTGATTAATAGACAGAAGTGAAGATGTTGTGTACGCAGACTACTGTTCAGCTTTCCCTTAAACAATACAAAGCACTTAACTGAATGCGTATGTTCATGTTGTCATGTAATTGGCTAACATACAGAACGATAAAAGCTGATGCAAGACAACGAGCATTCTTTTCAAGTTTGGAAAATAGCAGCCTATGCTGCTGAGGGTCCATAATTCTCATTTTGTCACCAAAATTGTGCTGTTTAGCTACTAACCATAATGACAAAAATTAGATTTTGCTAGAAGAGGTGTAGACTAGGTTTGCTAGACTGAGGTAGAGAAATCTAGACTTTTACCTTATCTGGATCTAAGCAATGGATCCTCTAAGTGATTGTCTTTTTGGAGGGGCAAAAGCCCACCAAACCTATAGTGACTGCGAAATGTGAGTAAATGTGAATGTGTAACATAAAATATCAGTGTTTTCACTCTCTGAATTATAAGCCTGTTGGAACATGCCCTCTCCTCTTCCCATAGGTGCTCATCTTAGCTATATACCTCTCTTTGGTAGAAATAATTATGAGATTCTGTGCTGCCAGGTCCTGAGTGCCATCTTCTGAAACAGTAAATATTCTCAACAGTTACCAAAGCTGTGTAGTATTGTATGTTATAGCATTAATGTGTTGAACACTGTCTCAGTGAAATTCCGCAGACGGATGTGTTAATTCTTTTCTTCCTCTGTGTTTCAGATGTGCATTGACCCTTCCTTGTCTGTGGCCTTGGGTGATAAACCACCGCCCCTGTATCTTTGTGAAGAATGCAGCCAGAGAATTGCAGGGTAGGTAAACTAAGAGCTGGAAAATGGCCAGGTATGATCTGTTAAACTCCACTGTTTGTTCTGGAACAGTCTGCTGCAGAAGACTGCTTTTTTCAGTATGACTTGGCATATAATTTATATAGATAATTCTATTGAAATATATGGCGCAAACTGTCATCCCATATGAATAAGGGTTGTGGAAACTAACCCCGCAAGATCAGCATTTGCGCCTAGTTTGGACAGTAGTGAGTGTTAAAGGCTAAATGAATGATATGAAATTTCTGAATGAATTAATATTGTGGGATGCACCAACTACGTTAGGGGAACCTCATTAACATACAACCTTTTGCTCATAAAATGTTTTCTCTCGTCATCCCTCAGTAGTCATTAAAAGCACGACATTACAGTGAAAGCTCTTTTACAGAGGCTTTGTTACTTTTCTGTACTTCTAAATGTTCTCTAGTGTATACTGTGAAGCAGCAGAGTGAACAATCGAAACTGGTCCAAACTTGTCTGATATGTGAAAGAAATACATCCTGAGATGAGTTATTCTCATTTTTTAAATTGCTTATTTGGTATGCATAAATTTACAAGATCTACTAATTCTCAAAGGAGCTTCCAATCATTAGTTCAAATGGACAAGGTTGCAGTTAGTTCAGAAGTTACAGATGACTTTTTTTTTTTGGCCCTGATTTAACAGACACCTTTGCATCACACCAGCTGTAGGAAAAGCAATTATATCTTGTAGAAGTCACCTTAGTTTTTAAGTCATTGTTGATTTAAAGCTTCAGAAAAAGGAATTAAATTTGATAGAAGCATAGCTTCTAAGGAGACACTCCTGGTACTGGAGTGGTCTGGTACAAAATGGTACTGGTACAATTTTTTTTTCCATGTTTGTCTGTCATTCTTCACTATCATTTTTTAGCTGTCAGACTCCCAGAGCACACAGTATTTTCATGTGCTAAATTAAAGCCTTAGAAGTAATTTTTTGAAAGCCTGAAACATGATGGACCAACACAGTGGTAATTTGCAATAAGCAACACACAACAAAGACAGGTAATGTAAAGCAGTGTACAGTTTATAAAATTATGTTTGCAGAAGAGGTGTTTCAGAATAATGTCAGTCCTACAGCATTAAGTTAGATAACTTCCCTCTGTGCCAAAATAAATGCATACATAAATAAAGTAATGGCAAGCTTATCTCTAGTTTGTTCTTCCCCCCCCCCCCCCCCCCCTTTAGGGATCATAGTGAATGGTTGATTGATGTTCTTCTGCCACAAGGTAAGAGATATTTTAAGGATAGGTACAGTCTAGTCTTAATTGTACAGCCTGATGCTTACTGATATTTTTGCATACTGTATCATTTGAAATGCTGCACTATTTTTTGAAGGAATATTGTAGGATTTCAAAGTAGCTTGTACTTAAGACTCACTAATGTCTTTAAAGTTCAATTAAAAAAAATGAATTAGCTAGCTAGTCCTCTACCTGAATTAAGTAATACTCTGCAACTTTTCATATGTGAGGAAAGAGAGACAATTGGACAGATTTTCTAATCTTCAGACATCCACAACTGGTGCCTGATATATATGTATGTGTATGTATGTATATATATATATTTTTTTTTGAAGTATTTGTACGCAGCACAGGTGTCCAAAAGGGGAAACCTGGCCCTGATTCTGAAGCTGTTAAAGCTTCTGAAAATCTGCTCTAACAAGGCCACAAAGGGTATCAAAAAAGGAGTATAAAATATTTTTGAATTATACAGTCATTGGTCCGGTCATGGTCTGTTGGCTAGTCGGAGATATTGCTGTTAACCACTAAAATACAGGCAAAGCTCGTCGGTAGACTAATCGGAATTCCTTACCTTTACAAGGACAGTTGCATAGTCTCTAAAATACCCTGGCAAAGACCGAACAAAGATACTCCCTGTCTTCTTTTCTTCAAACTGAAATTTCTTGAGTACTGGAGCTTTTTTTTCTTGCTGTCTCCTTTTGATTAAATTCTAATGTAGATTTTGGAATATTTCCTTTAGTTAAAGAAGTACTTCTCTTAACTCAGCCATCCATGTTTACTGAATTAGAAACTGCAGGGGCAACAGACTGAACAGATATTGCCTACAGATTAAATATGCAAACATTTCTGTAAGGAGTTATAGCCGCTATGTCTGTAGCCCCTATCTACTTTGCTAATCCAAACTCACCAGTCTTCCGTCCTGCAAACTTTCACTGGCAGTGTGAACTCATCTGAGCAATGGCTCCTCCAGCATGCCAATCATATTAGCATGCCAAGAGGCTTACTGTTACAAGCCTGTCTGTAAGGTAGAAGCATAAGCAGAAGGTGGATAGTATGTGGAGCACAGTGTACTTATTACTACCCCAAGGCTGTTCTTTCATTTCAGCATAGAAAGAGCCAGTAGGCCTGAGTATACTGTGCAACCAAAGTATACCTCATGCAGTCAAAGAAGCTTAGATATCTTATTAATATCTGGAAATACAAGTTTAGCTCTGGACATTTCCTTGTAAGAATTCCTTTTCCCTATGGTTACCATAGTAAAACAGGAGGATCATCGTTCTGTGTTGATGTTTTGTATGCCTTCCCCTTACAGCTGAAATTTCTGCTATATGTCAGAAGAAGGTAAGATTAAGTAGTCATTTGTGTGATGAGGCATGATTTGATGTTGTGTGTAATGTCATTCCGTTACTGTGTGGTACTTCCCCCGCCCCCCCCAGTACCATTCCAATTTTTCACATTGTATCCATGACTGCATTTGTTGCGGGGGTGGGGAGAAGGAAGATTTTTTTTTTTTTTCAGGGCTCAAGCCAAAAAGTGGAGTTTGACTGAGTGTTGGTTTGGTCCATTCTAAAAGAAGAGCAGCCGTGACATTTAAGTCCAGGCCCAGTGATAGGCCTGAGCTCATCTTCCTTGAAGTTCGGAGACATGTGGCATCAGGTGTTTGTACATAGCTGTAGTGAATTTGGAAACAGGCAACACCTGAGTTGAGCCCTTTCACCTGTGCTGATTCTCATCACTGTTTTTGGTTCTTCTTCCTGATACCTGTGGTCTAATACTTTTTTGTTTGTTTTCTAGAACTGTAGCTCACATGTCAGAAGGGCTGTTGTCACATGCTTCTCAGCAGGCTGCTGTGGCCGCCATGGCAACAGGCCAGTACGCTATTGCAAAAGATGCCATTCGAACCATCACAGCAGTGAAGTTGGGGCAGCAGCAGAAACCCATCTTTATCAGACCTCCCCACCCCCTATCAATACTCGGGAATGTGGGGCAGAGGAACTGGTGTGTACTGTAGAAGCTGTGATCAGGTAATATGGCAGTTTATAAAGCATCCATATGTAAGGTAGGATCAGGCCTTCATGTAAATATTGCCTGCAAATCTTGTGCAAGTTGATCTTAGTTTCACTAGGATAAGCTCAAAGCAGGAGCACTGAATTTTTGCTACCATAGCAGATCAACTGTGAGAGTTGTCCTCATGGAGTAATTCAGCCTTGAATCCTAGGACTTGATTTTATTTCATTAATGTGCTCAGGAAAATGAGGACATCAAGTGTTTTAACTTCTAATTATCCTTAGTCATCTACCTGCATCCCGTGCAGGAAAACTATATTCACTGACCACAAGGTTGTTTTATAGCTTGCTGAAGGAAGCGGAGTTCCATGCTGAGCAGAGGGAGTATGAACTCAACCGCAGGAGGCAGATGGGCCTTTCCTCTTCCCATCACTCCTTGGACAACACAGACTTTGATAATAAAGATGATGACAAGCATGATCAGCGCCTCCTGAGCCAGTTTGGAATCTGGTTCTTAGTAAGAAATTATTGCTATTTTCTTTTTTGTCTCTCTGAGGCCTCAGTTTCTCTTTTCTTTGTAGCACTTGGATTCAGTTGGACACTTCCCTGTTTTGTAAAAAGAAGGAAGGAGTTCTATGAAGCTCTCTGACTTGGAGATTTCAGAGCTATAGCGTGGGTGGAACTGTTTGCTGCCTACTCCGACTCCTGTAGTGAATGTGCAACGGGGCTGTTCACCCTCTCAGTTTATTATTACTTTCTGTAGGCTTTCCAGCTTCTGCTCACTGGTGACCTCTGCTTCATGCCATTATTTTAATCCCAAAAGGCAATCCCTTAAAGGTAGATCTTTTATCATTCATCTTTAAACATCAATTTCTGGAAACTCAGCTTTCCCTTTTACTTCTGAATAGGCTGCAAGGGGTCTTAATAGGGTGCTTTCTTTCCTGCCTTCAGAGTGGTCTAGCTAGATTAGTCGCAGTCACTTTGCTCCAGCTGGTCCACTCGGAATGGGTTTACAGAATGAAGCCCTGCCTCCTCATAGCTGGCAGAGATTATTCCTAAATAGCAGGGCTGTCACCAGCTAGTTCATGAGCAGGCCAGGCTGTGGCCTGATAGGTCCTGTGGGATCCTGGGATTCTGTGATTCTCCTTGAGCTCTCAGACTTTCTCCTCAGTGTCTCAGTGACAAGTGGGCAATAATGGGATCCCTGGCCAGTCATCTAAACAGAGATGGGGACTGCATAGTGGCAGATCTAGAACCCCACAGTGCCAACAAAGCTGCAGAAAAGAAGACTTTCAAATGACTATGTGAGCAAACTGCATTCTGCTTATATGTTGTGGTTTTTGTTGTTTCACATTATTTTAGCCCTCACTTAAATCTGTTGGGTTCTAACATTTTTGGTTTTTTGGGGGGTGTTTTTTGGGGTGTTTTTTGGTTTGCCATATTCATCTTTTCTGCTTCAAATGATGTTTTGTAAAGACTGAAAGCCTCTCTCCCTAGAAGAAATAGAATCTAACTGACAACAGAACAGGTTTTGTTACACTGTATTGGTAACATATCTCATCTTTGACACTAGGAGTATATCTTTCTATGGCAAGAAGGTTAGCTCACTAATTTCATTCTTTTCTGATGAAATCCTTGGATCTCTCCATAGGGAGTTCTGGCAGAGATGACAGCACTGATAGTGAGAAACAGTGGGTAGTTGGTTTTTTTCCATTAAATGAATGCTTTTCATCTAGGAATTGGACAGAGCTGAAGAGTTCCTGTCAAAACGCTGACATTTGAGTTACCACTCAACTGAGACAGGCACCAGGAAGTAGTCAAAGAGCTCAACTTAAACCTACAGTGAAGTAGAAAAATGAAGATGGTATTTTGAATTGGCAGGGATGTTAGCTGCTGCATCCCCAGAACAACAGGGAGGAAAAGCACTTGTGAAAAGGGTTCTGGTCTTCTCTGGGAGGCAGCACTGTAAGGTGTTTTCCATGAAATGATACGAATGTTTCTTCTCTCTTCATTTGCTGCAATGCATCAGTCACTGATTTCAGCTTGCCAGATGCTGGGGATATTGCGTTCACTAGGAAATAGCAAGTAACAGCTGATAAGTGGTTAGAAGGAACTTCATAAATCTCCTGTTATCTGTTACTTGCCATTCTGTTGATGTTCACTTTAGATTCAGTGCAGCAACCTGACTTAAAGTTTGTCTGCTGGCCCCAGAAGATACCAAGAACTCAAATAAGCAGGTGGTAAGGACTTGGCAGTGTGCCTGGTCTGTGAGTTGGAATACAAGCTTGGGCTCAGATGTGGGCTGGTTCTGCAGCGCATACATTTTTCTAGAAGGAGTGAGTTTAGAGAAGGGAAGAAGAATAGTGTTAATCACTCTTGAGATTTTTTTTGAGAACTCGAAACTCATATTCTTGCCCCAAATGAGCACAAAAAGTCAAAATCAGAATCGTTTCTGCAAAACAAAGTTCACTTTTATTCCGCCAAGTAACTGTTCTCTTTCAGACATTTTGAAAAACTTTAGTTGACCTGTCCTTAACTTTTAAGTTATCTGTATGGTTCTTTTTTTTTTTCCCCCTCTTTTTTCCCTGGGCATTACATTACACTTTTCATTTCAAAGTCATTTTGAAGCCTAAACTAGAAAGTTTCAGTTTGTCAAAGTAAAAAGTAAAATTCTTTATTGATGTTTTCAGTGTTAGAATTAAGAAACAAAGAAATTTGATACTTACTCTTTCCAAATTTTTATTTTCTGAATATGAAAATATTCTGTCAATCTACTTAAAACCGATCAGCTCAACTACTTTCTGTGTAATCTTCATCCAGGTATCTCAGAATGCAAAATATAGTAGACAAAAACACTTTCCCACCTTTAAATCTAGAAATTAAATTTGATTTGTATTTCTGTCCTCCAGGTGAGCCTTTGTACTCCCAGTGAGAATACACCCACAGAGAGTTTAGCAAGGCTGGTTAGTATGGTATTCCAATGGTTTCATTCTACAGCTTATATGATGGATGACGAAGTTGGTAGCCTGGTTGAAAAGCTTAAGCCCCAGTTTGTTACCAAGTGGCTGAAGACAGTTTGTGATGTTCGGTTTGATGTCATGGTTATGTGCCTCCTTCCCAAACCAATGGAGTTTGCCAGGGTAAGAATAATTTATGTGAAGATTCCTCATTTTGCCCCAAAGATTAAAATCTGATAAAACATCCAAACTTGTCTTAAGAAATAGGCACGGTTTCTCTGCTTCCCGATATGAGCCTGTCCTTTACCAGTCCCTTCTACTAATCTGTGTTTCTCTGCTCTTTACATACTATATCTCTGCAACTGTACATTGAAGTTCATGAAATCACACAGCTGTAACTCAGTGAAACCTGTGGGCATACTGATGCCCTATAACTTCAGGTACCTAATTTAAGCAGCTCAGGAGACCAATGTGCCTTGGTTTGCCTTATTGGTGATGGAGAGAGAGAGGCTTATCTGGAAGGTCAGTCAGGGTACCTGAGAAGTCCTGTGCTGGATTTGCGCTTAGGAGTCTTTCTTTTCCTCAACTCTGAAACAGAACTACCCTCTTAGCCTGGATAGCAAAGATGCCCCTCAAAGTTTGGCTTGTCGATATTCCTCTATAGAAAACTAAATATCAGCATGCAAATAGGAGCTTTACATTTGTGAGGGGTTTAAGACTTTTTCCTCACTTATCACTGCCAACTATTTCACATACGCTTTTGTAAAACTGGGAGAAGACTTTCATTTCACAACCTCCTTACATGAAATGTCTAATGGACATATTCTTTTTCTTTCCTAGAATCAAGTTACTAGACTAGGAAGGGACATAAAGCCTTGCTGTGCTGTATTACCTGATCAGGGTTGAAGCGTGTCTCCACGGGTTTTTACATGACCTAATATGTTGGATTTGCTGTGCATGTGTAGACCAGCATGTGCATATGTGTTACCCTGGACCATCACTCTGAAGATAGACCTGTTTTGTGGGAGGCTATTGGAGGGCAGCTGAAGGAATTTGAGATGGATGGATGCAGTGGGTGTTAGAAGTGAAGAAAAGAGATCTGGGCTTTAAAGCTAGAGAGAAATGACTGACCCGCATGCTGTATAGTCTGTTGTGGACCTTTCACTTATCTTGGATCCAGCCCCCTTTTTAATTTGAATTACCCCCCATTGCAGTACTTAAGACTAAGACTGACAGCTTGCCAGATTGCAAGGGTCAAATAGAATATGAAGGTGAACGGCCATGAAATTAACTATGATGAATGGAGAAAAGATAGTTTGTTTGCTGACGTTACTAGTAGTTGCTGCCAAAGTAGCAGGCATCTCTAGAGCCATTAGTAAGGAACAGTGGATGTGAGCTGAGGTCATCCTCTCTGTAGACCAGTTTTTTATTTACTTAGAAAAGTATATTTTTTTGCTTTCATCACTCAGAACCTTCCCTCAAAGAAAGAAACATTTTGAAAACAGCCATGTGATATGAGCCAAGTTTTTCAGTATAAAGACCCAACACCAACTAGCAGACCAGAGCAAAGAATTGAAACTGTAAGTTTGGCCAAGCTGTAAGTTTGTCCTGCATTGAGAGGCGTAGACAGTGGGAAGTTACTCTGTGTCATGGCATAGAAATGAACAAGCTTCGTTAAAATCTTTGAGAGTAATCTTTTGATCTGTGGCTCAAATGAAAGAGGAAAAAAATCAGTGCAATCCCCATGGCTGAACTCTAAATTCAGCCTGGAAGGCTCTGGTGGTCATCCCCCACAATTTCTTGGCTGCAGCACACTAAGCAAATTTATGGTGCTGGACAAATAATGAGGACTAGAAAGATCACTCATCAGTATGATTCCTGGAAATGCCCACAGGTTGGTGGATACTGGGACAAATCCTGTAGTGCTGTGACCCAGTTAAAAGAAGGTCTGAATCGAATCCTTTGCTTGATACCATACAATGTGATAAACCAGCCGGTATGGGAATGTATCATGCCAGAGTGGTTGGAAGCTATAAGGACAGAAGTGCCTGATAATCACCTGAAAGAGTTCCGGGAAGTGTTAAGGTATGTAGAGACGTGTAGGAGCTATTCTTTGTGTGTATGTGTCGATTATCGAGGGTTTCAGCACAATAAAATAATGATAATGAATAAAAATGCCATTCAGATTGCTTTCTCAAGTCCAGTAGACAATAGCAAGTGAATGTTGCGGAATCATTCATGAACTGTATTTAGACTAGAGCACTTAAGCTTTGGGAAAGTTTCCTTTTCTTGCTCTTGATATCCTTGAATCTGTATCAAGAGTCAAATACATGGGTACTTCTTTGCTCTGAGCGAGGTGTATTTTCAGTGGCTTTGTGCTGCAATGGTGGAGGAAGGAACTTTCTGGCTAGCTGTTGATATGAAAGGGTGGGGATTAGTAAAAGGCTGACTCTTACTAACCAGCTCTGCAGAGCTGGCACAGAAGGAGTGGTGATCTACGTTGATTAAGGTAACACTTTCTCTTGCTGAGCAAAGGAAACACCAGAATAAGAATGATGGCTGGCTGAGTCATGATTCCCTGCCTGGTATTCTCCTTTCACAATGCAACTTCACATTGCCTTTTAACTGATTCAAAGGTTCTGAAACTGACTGTAGACTTATACTTGTAGGGGCTGATGTGAACATTTCTAGTATGAATAATGACTAGTGGAGGAGTGGTGAGATGAGAAATATTCCTATATATTGGATAAACAAAGAGATTGTGCTATCAGATGAAAATAATTCTGCTAACTGGTCTCCCCAAAGTTATCTGCGTAGCCTGACTGGGCCTGATTTGAGAAGTAATGTACACTTGTAAGGTGCACCACCAAACTCCAGAAATGATCTTGTGCAGTCAGGACAGGTGGTATCAGCAACCCAGCTCAATTCTTTGTCTGACTGGGAAGTGAGGGTGCAAGGAATATACAATTAAGATGCCGGAAGCATCACTACTGCTAGTAGTGAGATTGACTTTCTATCAGTGCAATGTATGGTGTGACTCAGTGTTCTTATATTTTTGTTCTGCTTTTCAGCAAAATGTTTGATATTGAACTTTGCCCTCTCCCTTTCTCTATGGAGGAGATGTTTGGCTTCATTAGTTGTCGATTCACAGGTTATCCATCCTCTGTGCAAGAGCAAGCATTGCTTTGGCTGCATGTAAGTGTTCTTTCTTCACAAGTCATGCTATAGCAGTTTATGATTTTGGAGGGGAAGAAAAAAACCACTTTTTCAAGTGTCAGAGAACCTTCCTGCTCTTTGCTTAGCCCCAGCATAAGGCAATTGGTAGATAGATCCTGGGAAGTTTTGTGTTACTAACCCATCATGGACAATATACTTGAAGCCTGGAAATCCCTTTTCCCTTTGAATGTCAGTTGTGTCCTTCAGGCCGTTCAGGTATCTCTGGCTGATTGCCAGTTGTACTCTTTTAGTCTCCACAGAATGTGGCTTGTAGCTTCCAAAATTCATCTAGGCTCCAGAAGCAGTTGGAGCCTTTCCCACATATGGAGAATTGTGTTGGACTGGGTCTGGACCCTTCAGGTTTTCTACTGTTCTGGGCCTCCTGTGCTATACTCTTCCACAAAGCTGGCATTTAGCCAATGTTCATATTCAAAAGCTACAGGGAAAACAGTGTCTTCTGGGGGTAGTGCATTCAAAAGAGCATGAAGTTTTCCATAGCACCAGCCCCTCAGAATAACAACTATAATATATAATATAATAACTCCATTACCTTGTCTAGTCTGCTGAGGGTTATTTTGGTGTAGTCTCTGCAAAGAGCAGTTTACCTGATGATTGTAGCAATTTGCCTGTATGCAAAATTTTCAAGTAAAGTATGATTTCCTGTAGATTTTGCTTGCTCCTGATAACAGTTGGACAAGTACAAATGAGCTTATAGATAGATGATGAATATTCACTCAGTGATTTGCGGATAACCAGGCTTCTCAGTATATTGAAGTCTGTAGGCAACCGCCCTGACTGGATTCTCAGGATAATTACAGGAATTCAGTGTTAGGAAATAACAAAGACAGTAAATAGTTTCCCAAATGTTTTAAATATTTTTTGCTTCACAGAAACCTTTTGTTGAACAACCTCACACACCTCTGTGTTTGCGCATAAAGCTATCTCAAGCAGCACAAAGGAGATATCAACAAATAATTTGAAAATACCATGTTTTGCCAGTTCTTTTGCCCTAATTGTAGCTGAAACGTACATTCACAGCTCACCCCATTGACTCCCAAACGTATTACTTGCTCCTGAAATGCTGAACTAGGGATTGTGATGAATGTGTTTATAAAAGTAGCTGATATTTTTGATTAAAATTTGAAAACTGATACTTTTTTTTTTTAAATTTTTGTCTTTCCTCAGGTGTTATCTGAACTAGACATTGTTGTTCCTCTTCAGTTACTAATCAGCATGTTTTCTGACGGAGTTAATTCTGTAAAAGAGTTAGCAAATCAAAGGAAATCAAGAGTCAGTGAATTGGCAGGAAATCTTGCTGCTCGGAGGGTAATTGTTACTTTTTTTTTCTTTTTTTTTTTTCCTCTTAGAACAGTTTTCATAATTGAATGCATGTGAGGAATTAAAAGGTAATTTTTCAATGTGGCAATATTTGATTGGAAACACAATACAAATTTTTAGAGTGAAAAAATTGGCACGACTTCTTGAATTAATACCTCTCTTATCACTTCGTCAGTGTAAAGATAATGCAGATAGGAGTTAACTGCACTGTCTTTCTCAGTGAGCTCTTTTGCTTGGAATATATTTGGAGTGTTTGCCTTGGTATCATTTTCATTCTCTGTATCTTCTATTCACTACCATCAAGAAGTTTTTATGGAGAACTGGTCATCCAGAGTGAGCTCTCGTATGCTTGTAGTACGTGTTTGGTGGAGACCAGGTATGTTCTGTGAGGGTAACAGAACAGAACTTACTTTTGTGTCCCTGCATTTTGACTTGTGTTTCGCCCACCCCATCCAAGAGATGCAGAAATTGATGTAAAATAAAGATGTTTGTTTGTCACAGGCTTATGGTCCAGAAGAAAGTGTGTACAAATGTGTAGGCACTACACATACTTGGCAAAGTGTGACTAACTTCCCAGCAGTCTTGTGCAAAATATTTAATGTACAGTAGGAATACAGTGCTTGAAAGAGATGACACTGAAGATCTGATAACAGTATACCTCTCTGAAACACTTAGAGGTTCTGAGGGTGTTTTAAGTGGCCTACTGTGGTGTGGACATAAACCAATGCTGACGGGCATATCTTATTACCTCTGTGTTCAGTTGCTTTCCAGCTGCCTGTGTCCTTGGTATAGCCTTGGTTACACTACTGTCTTGAGATAACCTCTTTATTTATTTATTGGACTCCTACTATTGAAGTTGGTATCCCTTGATCGTGGAACAGATTATTGTAACCTTGAAGGCCACTTTACCACGTTTACTGATTTTTCTATTTGGTTTATGCCGATAAATTTCCTCCTTGGTGGAGCTAAGTTAATGAATATCAGCCATTCAACTTAAAAGAATATGTGCATCCATGCAGACTATGCCTCCTGTACTTTTATTGTGTTTTAGCATTTAATGGCATTAAGGGATGCTTGTAAGTTTTACAAAAGGGAATAATAACATTTTCGAAGTTCTTGCCGTTTGCCATAGTTTCGTATAGAATGAGATTGCTTAAATACTTAACGTTGGTTTGTATGTCTGTGTGTGTGGTTTTTTTTGTTTTGTTTGTTTCAATGTATTCAGGTAAGCGTTGCTTCTGACCCTGGGCGAAGAGTTCAGCACAACACGTTGAGTCCTTTCCCAAGTCCTTTCCAGAGTCCATTTCGCAGTCCAATACGTAGTCCTTTTCAGAGCCCATTCAAAAACTTTGGACACCAAAGTGGAAAGACTATTGACTTTGACTGTGAGGATGATGAAATGAATCTTAATTGCTTCATACTGATGTTTGATCTCATCTTGAAGCAGGTACTTACAGAAGGAAAATAGACATGTTAAAGGACACTAGAGTTTATTTAAAGTCAGTTGTCTCTCCTTTAATCCTGTATTGAATCCCTTTCTGCTGAAGACTGGCAAGAAGTGTAAGATATTCAGAGCTCCCTACAGCTCTCGCGGACCATTACCCTTGTGAGAGTTATGTGTTCATAGTCTGTGAAGAGAAGGTAGATGCCACAGAGTGTTAGATGTCTCATATGAGTGAAATGAACTGCCCTTTGGAGATGCATCTTTCTACAGACTGCAAGCAGAGGCTTGTTGATAGGCTTACATTAGATGCATAATTTTTGGATAGCTAAGTTTATGCATTGTGAATGCAAGCCCAAGTGGTTTGGATAATTGTCTCCAGGTAAAATTTATGGATCCTCTAATTGAAATCCTCTATTAGGCTTTGAAAAATCTTACTTTAGCTGTTCAAATTTGGGCCCCAACATCAGTGGCTATATTTGAAACTGTGAGTTCGAGTTTATCTCAAGCTCTTCCTAGTACTGTATTTTAACACTGGTGGAAATGTAGGAATAAGTAGACTAGTCAGAGCTCTAGCCTTTAAATAAACGATCAATCCTTACTCTTTTTACTCTCTTTCAGATGGAACTCCAGGATGATGGTGTCACTTTGGGCTTAGAGAACAGCATTTCAAAAGATATAATTTCCATCATAAACAATGTGTTACAGGCACCCTGGGGTGGTTCTCACACCTGTCAGAAAGATGAAAAAGCAGTTGAATGTGGTCTGTGTCAGTCTAGCATTCTGTGTTACCAGCTGGGTTTTGAGCTGCTGGAACAGCTTGCTCCAAAAGAAGAAATCAGACTTGTGGTAAGTAGTGCAAGAAAGGGCCTATGTTAGTGGTGTGCTGGTAACTCTTTGTCTTCATTTTGCTCATTACATTTTGCATGAGGGAATAGAGTTGCATTGACCTGTGCCATGGAGGATTTGAGAGGTTAAAGCAAAAATACTATTGAACTGCAAAATCTTATAGGTCTGAATTGGACAGATTCTAAGGATAGAGGGGAAGTTACAATATTGATCTGGTATGGGACACTCTCCCCGTCAACGCTGAAGCGCTACTTCACTTTGGAAGGGCACTGCTGCGATATTGTCTTAAATGAAACGTGAAATGATAATACTTGGCTTTTCACATAAGATGAAAAGTACTAAGAGCGTTTATTGTCAAACGAATAGTGATTTTTGAGTGAATCACTTCTCAGGTGGGCAACTTGAAAAACCTTGTTGGGTACTTGATTGTTGAAAATGCTGAACACCTTTGAAAAACAGATTTCACTGAAATATTTCAGGTTGAGTATCCATATTTGTCGGACATGGAAATCTCAGCCAAATTCTGCTAGTCATCATTTATTTGTTCTGCAAAGCCACAGATATCTTTAAGCGTTCCCTGTAGTATGATGAATTTGTTTCTATTCGAATATCTATTATACGTACTCTTCAATCTGACAGTTGAGAAGACAGCATAATTCCTCCTATCCTGAGTGCTCATTTGCTGTGGCATGGTGGTGACAGGATCTGTATTAGTCATTTCTTTTTGGTGGTGGGCACCGTGATCCTCTTGATGTGTGAAAAATTTGGAATTCCATTTTTATGCACATACTAGTAGTAGGCATTGTGGACACAATATTCAGTAACTTTTACCAGAAAAATTAACTCATGCCCTTTCCCATTCAGATTCTGGCCTTAAGCGAAAAGTGGCAAATGGTGAAGTCTTTTCAGTGGCTGGGACTTGGTACCATTTCTAGCAGCCACCTTGAGTTTTATAACATAATGGTAGCAATGGCAACTTGTATTTCTGAGTTTCTGGACATATAGCAGAAGTAGCTGAAGCCTACACCACACCTTTTTTCAGTGTCAGAGTGATTGAAGTAGCTCCTGCTTCTAAGCCTGTAACTGCATAGTGCGGTAGGAAGTATGTCCTGATCCTCTCTGTGCAATGGAATGACTCTTCTGAGCAAGCATGCTAAGCTTGGTGAAACCTTGGCCCTGTGGCAGTATCCTTCTCAGCTCCAGTATGGATACACAATTCTGTTAAGTGAGGTGACTGAAATCCATGTTTGAAACGTAATTTCTTTGTCAGCATGCATTTGCTGATGCAGAATTTTAAATACGCAGGTGATTTGAATGCACAAGTGCACACAGAAATAGACAGTGTCTGCCTCATTTGGGCTCAGTTTTTCCACATGCAGTATAACTTAAACAGCGGGATTTGACCTAATGTATTTAGATAACATCAAGAAATGAATTTAACTTATGTTCTTAAAGGAGCCCACAGATAACCTTGAGGATAGTCTTCTGTATACTAGGCCTGAGTTTATTATAGGAACTGAAGGAGAAGAGGAAGATAAATCAGCACCAAAACATGGAGAAAACCCAGGAAATCACACAGAGTCTACAGAAAACACTGGTAGGTTGAGGGTGAGAAGGGATGGATGTTTCAGTAAGGCTTTAAATGGAACACCCCTACCCTTAAGGGGAATACAAGGTTTTCAAGCAGTCTTTCAAATCCAACAATGCACAATTAATACTGTCTTGTGCGTTTAGTACTTTCTACATATTAATTTTATGGGAAGGCTGTATTACGTTGGTAGCATACCTAAGTGACTCTCAAAAAGTTTTAAAAAATATTACTCTTTGAACATATAACAGAAATATTAGATGCTAAATTCCTTGCTGTTGCATATTTGCTTACTGCAGTGTTACTGTGGGTAGAATTAATTTACCTCTTATAACATTCACATCCTTTAATTTCACTTTGAATCCACAAATGAGATGCTCTAACAACAATTTATGTAACTTACATTTTTAACAGCTATACAAAATGACACAGAAAGAAAATTTTGTTATCAGCAACTTCCAGTTACCTTGAAGCTCATATATACTATACTGCAGGTAATGTTGATTATTTGTTTAGTTTGAATTTTTTGATTAAGTGGTTTCACTGTGTTGAGAGTAGTACGTCTGCTTGCACAGGAAATGTCAAGATTTGAAGAGCCAGACATTCTATTTAATATGCTGAACTGTTTGAAGATTCTTTGTCTTCATGGAGAATGCCTGTATATAGCAAGAAAGGACCATCCACAATTTCTAGCCTATATTCAAAATCATATGCTGATTGCAAGGTAGGCTTTAATCACACGTTTTCTCTTCATGCTTTGTTGATTCTCCCAACAATGCGTTCATTGTGACCTCCGAGAGTTTGCAGATTTAATAAGGAAAATTAATGAAGGGTGGGAGAGAAGTGTGGAAAGGGAAAGTAGTAGTATAAAGCCACATTGCATAGGCCAATTATGAGGCTGCAAATGAAGCCAAGGTACCTTATGTCCTCCAGTGCTGTATTTATGTGAACATCTCTAACAGAGGTGAAGGATAATGTGTGTGTTCTTTTTTTCTTTTTTTTTGGTGGAGGGGGTGTGGAAATCCAGTAGCAGAGATGAAAAAATGAGGAAAAAATGATCATTTTGCATTAATTCCAACCGGTATTTTTTTTCAGAGAAATGGGGAAAATATTTCGGGTCTAATGAAAGATTTAGTATTTCATTTTGCCCTAAATCTGCCTGGAAATAAGTCTTGATTTTGCTCAGTTCATTATACTGTGTCTATCTGAGGTGTTGTACTACAAGGGAGAGGAGATTCAAACCCACTGAGCTCCTCCTTCAGGCCAGAGCTGCGCTTTCAAAGCAGCGCTGAAACAGACAAGGAGAAAACGAGATGCCTCACAGGGGTCGAAGGGGAAACTGCCAAGCCCACTGTTGAAAAGAGGGCATGAGGTGTAAATATTACAGGTCCCACTGCAGAGTGTCAGTGGCTTGTCAGAGGTTGAAGTGACCTGAAATTGAATGTTTAATTCACTTAAAGCAGAATTTTGTCACAAAAATATAAATTTTGGGGAAAGCATTTTTGTTAGAAAAAAGACTCTAGAACCATAGAATTATAGACGAAATTAAGTTGGAAAGAGCTTCAGGAGGTAGTCTGAAGTTTGAAGACTCTGAATTTAGAGCCAGCTTTGGGCTCTAATACTAATACTCTAATACGCTTTGTAGCATATTCTACAACCACTCATACTTCTCCTAGGAAATGGTATGGAACCGTAGGGGATCAACCAACTATAAGCAGATGCAAAAGGATCACTACTAGAGACAAGATATAATGGCACAACTTGATATTCTGCTCCAGTTGTTTTGCAGTTATTAAGTATTTCTCGTTCTGAATAATAGCTTTGCCTGAAATTGAGGTCTCTTCCCTGACTCTCCAAAATAAAATGAAGTATGATGTTTTAAGATCCCTTTTAAAGGGACATTGGAGAAAGCTCACTAAAGAAACATCAGCATGCTGTTCTGAATGGAGTATGTTCTTCAGGGCTTGCAGCTGTTTGGTGTTAATTTCACTGAAAATCTCCTGACATTTTAGGGTTTTAGCAGACTTGAGAATCTGTTCTGAATCTAAGAACTAGTAAATCCTGAGTCCTTGACCTCAGGACACATGATGCACACGATTCATGGCTCCAAGGCAGTCCATGTGCACAACTTGGTCATGTTGGAAATGCTAAACTGTGGTGTAGGTTATGTTCCATGGCAACTGTGCCTTGAATTCAGTAATATCTTGTCAAATCTGAAGTGTTTCAGTGTAAGGGATCTTGAAAACTCAGTTTTAAATAAACTCTGCTATATTTGAAGATTTTCAAGTAGCTCTGTTCTCCTACCAGCAACGGTAGTGAGTGCCTAGAATGGCTCATAGAGGTTGTCGTGAAAAGCTTGTTCCCACTAGCAGTACAGTGTGGACATTTAGAAGAAAGGATGCCAAGGGATTGCTTTTATAAGCAGAGTTACTATTTTTGGTCTTTGCAGCTTATGGGGAGTTGTGAAGTCTGAGTTCTCTCAGCTTTCTTCCCTGGCAGTCCCACTTCTTCTCCATGCGCTTTCACTCCCTCATGGAGCTGACATTTTCTGGACAATCATAAACAGCAATTTCAACAGCAAAGACTGGAAGATGAGATTTGAAGCAGGTAGGCTTGCGAATTGTATGCTGTTTGTGTGCTCATTGCTTTGCTGAAGAGGTAGAGCTTCCTCTACTGTAAGTGAGGAGACTTGTAAAGGGTGATTATCTGTTTGCTGATTTGGGGAGTTTTGGAGATAGTTTGCTGCAATACCATAGCACAAAAAGGCAGCAGCTGAGACGAGAATGAGAGACATTCTGGATAGTCAAAATACGATCAAATTCACAATAACATTTGCCACCTATTTTTTGTTTTTGCTTTCCAATATGCCTCTCCTACAAATATTTTTATCTTAATCAAGACATAAAGAAGCCATTGCCTAAATTAATATTAATATTTTCTTTGTCTGGGGGCATGGCTGCTACAGTGGAGAAGGTGGCTGTGTTGTGCAGGTTTTTGGATATTCACTCTGTGACAAAAAACCACCTACTGAAGTACTCTTTGGCTCATGCATTCTGCTGTTTCCTGACTGCTGTGGAAGATGTCAACCCAGCAGTAGCTACAAGAGCTGGGCTATTACTTGACACCATAAAGAGGCCAGCTTTACAGGTAGGCTCATTATATGAGACAAAAATATGCGTTTGAATAGGAGGCTGAATTTTGATGCAAAGTTCGAGGGGATTCAGATGTGCAGTATCACCATCACTGCTAGTAGCTCATAAGACAAGCCTTATGGATCTGGATAATTGAGAAAAGCACAAAGCTGCTGTGGGAAGTGATACTACCCTAGTCCCAACTTTGATAGCTCCCAAGGATTACTATGGTATTTAAACTGTTACTGGAAAAAGTTGTACATGTTTTTGTAATATTAAAATGTGATAGTGTGTACCAAATGCTCAGTAGGCAGAATCTTGCCTGTCCCTTTGAATTCTTCAAAATCAGTGTAGAAAATTCCCCATTCCAAATATGGTGTTTGTTTATCTCCTTACTTACTTTACTTTTCTGTTGGTATCAGTAGCATTCCTCCCGATTTAAAGCACTAGGAAACAGGAGCTACACCTTTGTCCTGTATTAATTGATGGAAGATGTGAGCTTTGACCTCCCATTGCTTTGAAAACACTTACAATAGTCTTCTCATCTCAGTTCTGTGTTTTTTCTCTACACAGGGTCTCTGCCTCTGCCTTGATTTCCAGTTTGACACGGTTGTTAAGGACAGGCCCACAATTCTTAGTAAGCTATTGCTACTTCATTTTCTAAAAGCAGATATTCCAGCTTTGAGCTGGGAGTTCTTTGTGAATCGCTTTGAGACCCTGTCTCTGGAAGCACAGCTTCATCTGGACTGCAACAAAGAATTCCCCTTCCCGACAAGTAAGCAGAAATCAAATCAATCTGATCACCTTTTATCAGCTGCTGGAATTTCAGCTGCCTGCAAGGGTATGAGAGAGATGTAGGCCTCACCTGCATATACTTACTGAAACTAACTAATTTCAGGCCAGAAGAGAATAACTCAAAGTAAACATTTTTGACTGCCCAAATGCAGATTACGATATATTCCATTGTAAGTTTGGGCATTGTGTTTTACTCTCACTAGACTGTGATTCCCAGCCCTGGCTGAAACGTGATCTGGTTCTGTGATGAATTGGCTGCAACCTGCATTAACCTATTTGTTCTTTTGTAGTTCTTACGCAAAGTTCTTAACATTACTATTCCCAAAGGGCTAGATCATACCTGATCCAGTTCTGTAAGGGTCTGCACAAAGACAGCTGAAGGTATGATCGCAGCCCTAGGAACTGCATGATCCCCAAAACACAAACAAATGCATGGGGCACAGCACAAGAGGTACTTTGAATCTTAGAGCAGGGGCTCGGTTAACTGTTCCTGCAGGGACTGTAACAAACTTCTGTAAGTGTTTGTCCTGTCCACGTTTTGTTTCTTGATGAGATTATACAACTCTCTTCCCATTCACTGGGATGGGGGAGAAGGATAAAATAATATCCAGGGTAAGGATAAAATAATAACCTGTGCATGATTGTTTAACGTGCTGAAAAATTCAGCTTCCTTACTGAAGTGGTAGCCATGAGCCAGATCTTTTTTCATCTCTCTTGCTTGGGGGAGGTGGGGAACAGCTGCCTGGACAGCATCTGCTCCCTCAACAGCCTAATACCTCCTCTTACACTTGCAAGAAGCCCAATGCCTAAAAAAGCCCAGTGATGCTGCTGCAGGTGGAGCTGCAAACACATTTTCTCCTTGGTATATGGGTAGCTTGGCCCAAAGTTGGGACCTGCTGCTGTGGCTTGAGAAGGGAATCTCAGCAGTGGTTGCGAGCACCTCTGGCTGCAGATGTAGGGTCACATCTTTAAAAATATTTGAGAGCATTTAACTGAAAATAGGCAAAATATATTTTTTCAAGATTCTTTTGAACCTTTCTCTCTGCCTTTTCAAAGACATCTGTAAATGGTTCAAAGGATAGGGTCACCAGCTTTGGTGACTCGGATAATAAAACTCAAAGGGTTCGAATGTGCCACAGATATGAGTATAGAAAAACATTAGTGACTCCATTGAGATAGATGCACTGACGTTGCTGGTAACAGTACTGCAAAAGCATAACCGCACTCACAGCGTTTTGGAGACACTGTTCAAATCCAGGATGATAGGCATAGGCAGGACAGAATTTCAGTTTGAGGCACAACTAGAGGCCCCATTTCGATATGAGTACACTAAATGTGTCCATATTCAAGAAATTTCTGCCATTTTAAACAGAGGGCACCTTATACTCCCTTACCCTGAAATTCAGGTTTTGGGTTCAAGAGTCTGTTTTTGTCCGATCTCTAAATAAACAAAGAAGGAGCAGCATTGTTTTTTTAAATGCACTTAAGCGGTTTGGGGTTTTAGAGATTTCAGACTGAGCACATGCAAACGAGTTCCTTGCAGATGGACCCCTTGAACCTGTATGAGGCATTCTTGACTTCAATGGGACCTGGGGCCCAGTTGCACTTGGCACTTGGCAACATTAGGGCCTCGCCATGCTGTGGAATGAATCCTAACTTGGTCAATTGCATTTGCAAAGCTATCACTGCTGTCCGGACAAATGTCGCCAACCTCAGTGATGCAGCAATGTGGAAGATCAAGAGGGCTCGTTTCGCACGTAATCGTCAGAAGAGTGTGCGTTCCCTGAGGGACAGTGTGAAGGGACCAGTGGAGTCAAAGAGAGCGCTCTCCCTTCCAGAAACCTTAACCACCAAAATTCGTTGAGTATCTATTTATGTTTTTGTGACACGCCTGTATCTTCTCCCTTAGGATTGTGTCCTATTGCTGAGAACTCATTGGAATTGTCAATATTTATCCAAATGGGATAGCAAATTTAGATTTCTGACTGATTTGGATGTTGTTCAGATAATGACAAGTCAGTGAGTTTGACAAAGAGCATAGACAAACACTAAGTCTATGCTCTCTTTATTTAAAATGCCAGAACAAAATGTTCTATGACTAGTTGGTAGATAGATCTTAATTTTTTTATTGTGGCTAATACACAGTAATTTTGTATAAAATAGACACAGTGTACACAGAACCATTACTCTACCACTAATTTATTTATTAATTGTAATTGTTGATCAGGTTATACAGTGTTTGCTAGACACCTTAGAAACCACTGTTAATGTCTTGGATAAGCTTTTGCATATCTTCAGAACTCCTTTGTCAGGAAAGGAATGTACATGCAACAAATCCTTCCTGCCATCTTGCATAGGAGGACAACTTAGAAATTATAAGCTGGAAAATTATAGGCCCGTATGGAGCGCTATACAGATATTTCTCAAGCAAAACTAAAGCTTACCCAGTCTCATTTAGAGAATTTTGCAAACGCTAACTAGTCTTACATTCAAATTGAACCCCTCACATTGCTCCTACCCTTACAATAGCAGCTGATAAAACATTCAGTTGTGGGTACTGGTGAACTGCTGAAGTTATCAAGGTAATTCCTTTTCTCCAAACCAGACACACCATATTTTGGGGCTCTTGGGTAATCCTTCTTGATCAACTTCTGATCCTGCACAGGTGCTCCTGTGTGATGACTCTTGTACCAGCAAAACCGAATGATGAAGAAAACTAGAATCACAGAAAACAGTGCGCAAAATCTGTACAGCACAAAAGTGACATGTTTCAAACTGCTACACTCGCTGCCTGACAGCAGTGCACGAGTAGATGAATGTATATAGGGTAGCACTGAGTATATGCTGCAGGTTAAGATGCCAGTACCGCTTATTTAAATGGAGCTATTCTTTTTTTGTTTTGTTTTTGTTTTTAAAGCTGTGAGCTTGACCAGACATGAGCAGTCTGCTCCAGCACTTGGTGGAACACCAGAGCAAACACCAGGTGGGTTAGAAAAGGGAGACGTTTCATTGGAACAGGAAAAGAAGGCACTATTGCTGGCTTTCCTGATGACTCATAAGATAAACTTAGGCAACGTGCCAGCTGTCTAGAAGGCTGAGTGATTCAGGTGTCTCAGTGTGGTTCCAAAAGGTATAAATTCAAATTTTGCTCTAGATCTGTACTGAAAACTGCCCCCAGTTGTGACCAGTACTTCAGGACTGAGGGAGATTATTCAGAGCAGTCAGCTGTGCTGCTAGTGTCTCACCCTCCTGTGTTTCGTTGCCCACAGGAACTAGCAAATCCTAAGTGTGCCGACCCAGTGGGTCACCTATGTTCAGGTTGATCTTTCATCTTCAGGTTTTAAAAAGGCAGTAGATAGAATGCTTTTGAATGCAAGTAAGTACTATAAGTTGCAGTTTTCCCCTATGTATACTTGATAGTGTGATTCAGACTTATCATGGATGCTCTGGAAAACAGAAGACAAATGGTTTTCCTTCTCTTCCTGCTCAGCACTTATTACTTTTTTAAAATCTCCCAATTATTTGTCATTAAACAAATTTTTAACCACCTATCAGAAAAATTCATCGGAATACATTTTAGTAACAATTAAAATTGTTACCAGTTAACAGTAATGGCATTTAATGAACAAATTAAAATTTATGGTGTAATTAAAACTTAAATTTCAAGTATCTCCCCCTTTTGATGCTGTCCCAAAGAGTATTTTCTCTTCTCTTTGTTAATTATTTTAGTAAAAATAAGGTGTGCATTTTATTTAAACACAGCATTTTGTCTAAACTACTGTTTAACAGACCATGTTTGTCAGTATATTCTTCACTGTGCTGTAGCCATGCACATCTTCATAATTAATAAAAAAGAATCTGATACACTGATATGTGAAATACCTGCTGCTTTTCGTGAATTCAGTTGCTATTGTTGGTATAGCATAGAACTTTAAGAACTACTAACCACTAAAGATCTTTAGTAATATAAAAGGCCTAACACATAGGGTGAGATGGAAGAGGACACCTCCAAAGGCAATTACTAGAGGAGCCTGGTAATAATAAGCAGTTCTAAAAGTGTATGGAAATATTGTTAAAAATAAATAAAAATCTGGAGTATGAAAAGAAAAATGCTCACCCAATTAGTGACTGTTATTTGCAATGTGTCCGTTCTGCTTGGACGGTGAGAGCCAGCTACCATCTTCCTCCTGCTTTGTAAGTAGCCTCTCCTCTTGCATGTGATCGTTTTCCCACAGAAAGTATTACTGTTTGGTTTATAGACACTGAGTGGAAATAATAAAATCTGAAAATTTTTCTGGGAAAAGCAATCGTCAAAGTTTTGACATAGTACATAGCCTCCCAGAACCTAATATATTGTAGTGCCTACATTTTGTTCTGTGTTATTTGAGAGAAATATGAATGCTGTGTTAAAAGTCTTCATTCATCTTTGATCTTTATTGGGTAGAGTTTCCTTGTTTCCTACCTTTGCCATGGCTACTGGCAGAGACCAATGTCCACCAATATTGGCTGAGAAAGACTGAAAACTATACTAGGTGAGAATTTGGTGGCTATTTAATTCAGATTGATGTAAAGAAATCGTTACACTCCGTTTGAAAGAGATGCACTGGAGTAGGAAGATTAGCAGCTTTATTAAATGTGAGAAAGCTGAATGTCACCAATGTCTCTCTTGTACTGATAGGACAACCCTCCCCAGAGAATGATAATACAATAAAAGATTTACTGCCAGAGGATGCAGGAATTGATCACCAGACTGTCCACCAGCTGATTACTGTGCTCATGAAGTTCATGGCAAAGGATGAGAGCAGCGCTGAGTCGGACATCAGCAGTGCTAAAGCTTTCA